TTAAAGGTTATTTAAATAAGGTTTACTAGCTAGGGTAATCTTATTTTACATGGCTTTAGTAATATTTTAAAAATAAAATAAATAGGCTAGTTTATTAAAAATTTAAAAAGCCCTTTTAAAATTAGTAATAGCCTAAGCGCGTGTATAATATACTAGGCTAGTATTATAAAAGCTAAAATTTAGGTTTTTTAAAAATATATTAGCTTTAGTAACTAAATTAATAATTAAATTAGTAACTTTTACTACTAAATTCTTAGGGTTTATATACCTGGAAAGGTTCTTAAAAGCTAGGCTTTTTAAAAATTTATTTTTAAGATTTTTTTAATATTTAGGTTAGCGTTAGCTTAAGTTAATAAGTTTTTAAAAATAAAAATTTTTAAAGGTATTAAAGCTTTGGGTGCCTTAGGAATAAAAAACCTTAAAGGGTTTAAAACTTTAAATAATACCTTAAAAATAAAGATTCCTAAAGAAGGTAAAGCCTTAAAAATAAATATTTTTAAAAAAGGTAAAACCTTAAAAATAAAAATCCTTAAAAAAGGTAAAACCTTAAAAATAAAAATTTTTAAAGGCGCTAAAGTAGTTACTTTTAGTAAAGGATTTAGCCTAATATAATAATTTTTAATAATATTAATATTATATACTAAAACCACATGGCTATTATTTAAAAAAACCTGGTATAGCTTATTTATTTTTTTATTAAACTTAACTAGTTTTTTAGTTCTTGTTTTACTATTTTTATAAAGCTTTTTTTACTTTTTTAGTAGGTTTAAAACATAAACCTTAAACTAAAAAATATAAATATAGGAGATATTTAATTAGTAGCTATACTAGGCCTTAAATAATATAATATTATTTAGTATAAAATATAGAGTATAGTTATATAAATAACTAGTATTTTTATAAAACTTAAATTACATGTTAGCTAGTGCTTTAGTATTATATAATATAAATTATATAAGGCTAAGTAACTTACTAATAAGTACTTTAGCATAGCTATTTTATTTATATTAGTTTATACTAAATATTTTTATAATAGCTTTAAAGCTGTAAATAAGGCGTTGCAGGTTATAAATATTTTTTCCCCTTTAATTATAATATACGCGGCGCAGCGGGAGCTTGGGCGTGTTATACTAGTAAATAATAAAAAAAGCCTAGGTAATAAATTTATCCTTGCTAGCTAGTATTATAACCTAGTAGTAATAAAATTTATTATTTATAATAAAGTTAATATATGCCTTTTTATTAAATAAAAGTAAATATAGGCTAAAAATATTTATATAAAATAATTTAAATAATTAATTAGTAAGTATTATAATACCTTTATAAGGCTTAGCCTGCTAATATATAATAATATAAAATTTATAAATATAACCCTTAGGCATATATATATTATAAACTACTTTTTTTATTTTATTAAGCTAATTCCTAGAGGTATGGCCTATTTATTAATACTAAAGCTAAAAAAATTTATCCTAAAAAGTAAAGGCTACTAGTATTAAAATAACTAGTATTACTAGGCCCTAGTAAAAATTAAAAAAAAATACTTTATAAACTTTAGTAACCATATACTAAGCTAGTTTATAATTATATAAGGTAATAATATTAGTACCCTATAACTTTTTAGCTTTTATATTTTATTAGCTAAAGCTAACTAAGCAATGCTTATTTAGTAGTTAAAAAATAAAAATTAGCATAAAAAATATATTAAGGTAATATAAAATATTATTTAAAGCTAGGATTTTAAGCCAGCTATTAATATAGTAAAAAATTTTAATAATATTAATACCTTAGGTGCTAAAAACTTTAGGGCTAATATTTTTAATACTAGGGCTAGTATAGGGCTTAAAATCCTAAAATAAAAAATAATTATAAATAATATATTATATATAGCTATTATTTAGGGCAATTTATTAAATAAAACTATTTTAAATAATTTTTTATTTAAAGTTAAAGTTAATTTAAGCTATAAGCACTAGCTTAAGTATAGGCTTTATATTTTTTTAAATTTAAAGTTTTTTTAGGGGTGCTTAGCGCCCTTACCACCCTAAAAGTTTTTTTAAGTAATTTTAAGCTTAAAATAAAGTTAATAGCAGGTTTTTTAGCTATAAAAAAGCGCGTTATAATAAAAATAATAATATATGGTAATATTCGCGGTACCCTTATTTTTATATATTTAAATAATATTAAGGTAATTTTTATAATATTTAATATTAGGCTTAAATATTTTATTAAAAAAAAGTGCTAGGGTGCCGGTGCCCTAGTTTTAGTTTAATTTAATAAACTTAGTAATAATTATAAAGTTATTTAAAAATATAACTGGCGTGGTAATATCCCCCGGAAAATATTTAATAATATAGTTATTAAAGTGCATGGCCTTAAAATAGTTAAATTAGTTACCTAGGGCTTAATAAAAGGTAATAATAATAAGTTTAGCTAAAAAAGTAATACTAACACGGGTAAATTCCTGCTAAATTTCCCTAAGTTTCTTGCTAAAATTAGGGATACTTTTATTATAAAATAAAAATATTAAGTTAGCCTAGGCTTTAAAAATTATAGTATTAATATTAGGTTTAAAATAGCTTTTAATTTTATTAAGTAGCTTATAAATTATTTATTTATTAGTAAAAAGGTTTTATAAATTAAAACCTAAATAGCTAAAAATTAAAGCTATTATATAGTCTTAGTTTTATTACTAAATCTTAACCTTATTATGGTTTACCGGGGGCGTAGGCTTAATAATAACCTTAATAATAAACTAAGTAAAAGGCTACATAAAAGGCATAATAATAATTAAAACTTTATTATTAATATTTATATTTTTAGCTTAGCTTATAATAAATTATTAGCTAGGGGTTTTAATATCTTTACCTGCTAAAGCTAGTATAATAAAAAAGGAACTAGTAGGGGTTTTTATAAGGTGCCTTTAGTTTAACTACTTTAAAAGGTGGCTATAGCTAGCCTTTTAAAGCTTTAAAAATACCTACTAGTTTTATTTAACCTACTAGTTTTTTAATATTAAAACTAGGATATTCTTTACTTTAATTAAGGTTATTTTTTTTATTTTAGCTTAATATAAGAGAATTAGATATAAAAAAACTAAATAGTAAAAAAATTAAAATAGTTTAGGAGCCAGGGATTAAAGCGCTTAAAAATTAAAAACCTAAGGTAATTAAGAATAATAAGCCCTAAAAAGTTACTATAATAAAATTAAGGTTAAATAGGCTAAAGCTTATACTAGAATAATTATAAAAAAAAAAAAGCTAGTAACTAAAAATAGCTAGTTAAATATTTAAAGGTTAATTTAAATTTTTAAGAAATAATTAAAGTTAAAGTTTAAATTAAAAAACCTAAAGGTGTTATACTACCTTTAAAGGTTTTAAAACTTTTTAGCTACTAAAAAAAACTTATTTTTATTAAAAAATTAAATATATATGGCCTTAAAAAGTAAATATTTATAAAGTTAAAAGCTAACTAAAAAGGTAAAAATAAAAAGGAAAAATAAAGAATTTAAGGTAAAATAAAATAAAGTTATAATATTTATATTTTTATAGTAAGGCCTTTACCCTAAGTATAAGACTTTTTAATTATTATAGTAACTAGTAAAGTTATAAAAAAATATAAAGCTAAATAGGTAAAATAAAAAAATACCATGTATTTAATTAATATAAGTTAACTTAAAAAAAAAGGGCTTTTAATTAGGTATATAAGTTAAGTAAACCCGGGCTTATAACCTATTAAAAAAAATAAATAGTTATTATATATAAAAGTTTCTTGTATTACTTAGTATATTAAATTAAATATTTTAGGGATAAATAAAGAGTTTTACGGGTGGTTATTTAGGCCGGAAGAACCTTCCTTTACCAGAGCCCTAAGGCCGCGGTGGCCTCAGGCACCCACTTCCAGCAAGCCCTCGGCCCCTCGCAACTATTCCAACTAGCGATGGCCGGACTGCTCCGGAATCCGTAAATCGTAATCGTATAGAGAGTACTCCGTAGTCCGTACGAAGTAGTCAACAAAACAAACAGGGCAGGTGCCATGGACCGCGATCTCCACACCCGTTGAGTCCAAGTTTCAAGTTTCATCAGAGCATTAGCAAGGCTCGATAAATAAACAGCGAAATAATTAAAATCGACATCAATAAATTCGGCAATTGTGATTGTGATGATGGCATTCGCATCGCAATCGGAACCAGGTTTCTGTGAGACAGTGATGCAAGCGTACCTGAGCGCGCCCACAAAAAGCCCACCGTGATGCGCGTCCATACTCCGCCCGGGCGCTCAGTTCAACTCCAGTGGATGGATCGGATTCTGGGGCAGAAGCCGGGACTCGGAGGGCTCGAGTGCAACTGCATGCCGTATATCCAGCTGCACAACAAGCAAACAGAAATAGAGGCGGGATGGATGGCCGATCGCAATCCGTGAACGCTGCAGCCTGACGGGCACATCGCAATTTCAGTAGTCTCGGACTCCAGATTCCAACGGTCAGTCAGACTCGGTGTCGTCAGGGGAAGAAGCCAAGAGGTGGACTGGGGAGATCATCATGATTGGATATCCTCCACGCGATTGACAAGTTCAATGACAACAAGGCAGCGTGGGGACGCTATCGACGACGGAAGGAAAAGGCAATGCAGATCAGAGGAGCAATGGATGACACATTTGAACAATGAACCAGACTTCTATTTTGTGTGAGGAAAAATCAACATTTGAATGTGGATAGTAGTAATAGATACATCATGACGCTGTACATGTACATTGGCCACCTGCTAAAGTGTAAACATAACATTAAGGAATGTACTCCATTAAGGGGATATCAATAAACTGAAAAAAGCACATGGAGAAAAATAGTACAGAAGAATGAAGCTCATTCGCCCTTCGGGGAGGTGAGTTGACTTGACATGCTCGAACGGTGCCTCAAGATTAGAATTAGGAATTAGGCGGGTACTGCAGGTGGTGCCATCGCAATCGTCTCGTTAGATGGATTGGGTTTCTTCGACCCCTCGCTTAAGCGTCGGTAGGGCAGGCCTCGATGCCAACGGTCTTGGTAACAGTGACGGTCTTGACGCCGGCGCAGCCCTCGCAGGTAGCGCCACCGGTGGGGACAGGGAAGACGGTGCTGTACTGGGTAGAGTAGGTCTCGGTGATGTCAGTGGACCAGGTGCCAGTCACGCCGGGGAGGCTGGTAGAGAAGGTCTGGTAGATGGTGGTGTCCCATGAGATGGTGGTGGGCTGGGCCTGGCTAGGGACGGCAGCGGTCTCGGTGGGGGAGACATCAGTGGGGACAGCGGCGGTCTCGGTGCCAGCGGGAACGGAGGCAGTCTCAGAGACAGTGTAGGAGGTCACGCTGTCAGTGGTAAGGGTGTCGCAAGGGGTCTCGCTGGGCTGAGCCTCAGTGGGAACAGCAGGGGTCTCGGAGTCGGTGGGGGAGACGTCAGTGGGAGCAGCGGGGGTCTCAGTACCAGCGGGAACGGAGGCGGTCTCAGAGACAGTGTAGGAAGTCACGCTCTCGGAGGTAAGGGTGTCGCAAGGGGTCTCGCTGGGCTGAGCCTCGGTGGGAACAGCAGGGGTCTCAGTAGGCTGGGCAGGGACAGCAGGGGTCTCGGAGTCGGTGGGGGAGACGTCAGTGGGAGCAGCAGGAGTCTCAGTGCCAGCAGGAACAGAGGCAGTCTCGGAGACAGTGTAGGAAGTCACGCTTTCAGAGGTGAGGGTGTCACAAGGAGTCTCAGATTCGGCGGGAACATCAGAAGTCTCGGTAGGGCCAGCGGGAGTCTCAGCAGGGACCTCGGGAACGGCAGGAGTCTCGGTAGGACCAGCAGGGGTCTCAGCAGGGACCTCAGGAACGGAGGGAGTCTCGGTAGGAACAGCAGGAGTCTCGGTGGGCTGAACGTCGGTGGGAACACCAGGGGTAGAGACGGTGTAGGAGGTCACGCTCTCAGAGGTCAGGGTGTCGCAGGGAGTCTCGGTGGACTCGGCAGGAACCTCAGGGGTCTCAGTGGGAGCAGCGGGGGTCTCAGTAGGGCCAGCAGGAGTCTCGGCGGGAACCTCAGGAACGGAAGGAGTCTCAGTAGGGGCGGCAGGGGTCTCAGTGGGCTGAGCGTCAGTGGGAACACCAGGAGTAGAAACAGTGTAAGAGGTCACGCTCTCGGAGGTGAGGGTGTCGCAAGGAGTCTCCTCAGGAGAGGCAGGAGTCTCAGTGTCGGTGGGGGAGACGTCAGTGGGGACAGCGGGAGTACCAGTAGGGACGGAGGGAGTCTCGGAGGGCTGGGCATCAGTGGGAACACCGGGGGTTCCAGCGGGGACGGAGGGAGTCTCAGAGGGCTGAGCATCAGTGGGAACACCGGGGGTTCCAGCGGGGACGGAAGGAGTCTCGGTGGGCTGAGCACCAGTAGGGACGGCGGGAGTTCCAGCAGGGACGGAGGGGGTCTCGGAAGCGGGGAGAGCGGGAGTGCTGCTGGGGGAGCTAGGACCGTGGGTGACCTGGGAACCGCCGCAGCACTTCTGGCAACCAGTGAGCCAGCCGATGATGATGAGCTGGATAGACTCGTCGATCTCGATGCCGACACCACCACCGATGAGGGCAGCGAGCTGAGCACGAGCCTCAAGAGAGAGCGAGAGGACACCCTCACCGCCGAGGATGAAAGAGAGAAGACCGTGGATGTGGGTGCCGAGCAGGGTGTCAATGGTGCCGGTGAGGAAACCAGTGAGCTCGGTAACAATGTTGGTGTGAACGCTGACGGAGAGGTCGGTCTCAGCAGTGACACCGAAGGAGAGCCAGAAGGCAAGGAGACCCTTGAGCTCAGCAGTGAGCGAGCACGAGCTGCTGCCGAGCCAGAGAGAGAGCTCAACACGGTCGGCAAGCTCGATGTCAACAGCAAGACCACCCTTGGCGATGAGCTTGAGAATGTTCAGGATAGTAACGTCAATCTCGAGGCCGACCTTGGTCTCAAGGAAAGCAGAGAGAGAAGCTTGGGCACCGGCGACAAGAGCACCGGTCTCTCCAATGAGGGCCTGGAGAGAGGCACCGACACCAATGGTGGCAACACCACCAGTGGGAAGGTTGCCAATGGCGACAACATCGCCGCCAATCTTGCCCTCAATCCAGAGAAGGAGGGTCTTCTTGAGGCTAACGGAAAGACCGCACTCGGAGCCGTTGAGCCAGACCTTGAGGGCGTTGATGATCTCAACGTCAAGGTCGCCGACGATACCACCGGCAGCACAGAATTCGAGACCGGCCTTGATCTTCCAGTCAAGAGTGCCGAGGAGAGCGAGGTGGGCTTCGAGAGCCGCCTGGGCGGTGGCACTAAGGACAGCGAGAGCGTCGGTAGCGACCTCGAAGACACCCTCCAGGGTAACGTAGAGGTCGGCCTCGGCAGCAATGTGAGAAAGGGCGGGGATGAAGAAGGCGAGCTGAGCACGGAGGTCGACGTCGATCTCGAGGTCAACAGAAACGTCAGCCTCACACCAAGCCAGAAGAGCCTTCCTGAGGGAGGCCTCGAGGTGGAGACCAGCGCCAGCCCTAAGCCAGATGGCAAGCTTCTTGCGGTAGTGAAGGTCGACGGAACCAGCCGCGCAACCAAGAGCACCACCTTGAAGAGCCACGGCAGCCTCAGCACTGATGTTGCCGAGGAGGTGGATTGGGCTCACGCCGGAGAGAATGCTCTCGATGGTGTGAAGGATGCCGTTGATGAGGCCGAAGGTGCGGGTGTCGAGCTGGGTGCTAGAAGTAGCAGGGAGGGCGAGGGCCGAGCCGGCCAGACCAGCAAGCAGAGCAAGGCTGGTACGCATGGTTGCGTTAGTATGTAAACAAAAGGCTGAGAATGATAATGACTATTCTCGGAGAGAATGGAAAATAGCGAATTGACGTATCAAACGGTTTAACGATAGACTGGTAAGAATTATGTTGTAAAACGAGGGACAGGCACTGAGCCAGGAAATGACAGACAAAAGACTTGCTGGTTGGGAGAACGAGGGTGAGCTGCGTGCAGGATTATATACCTCCCCTGAGCGTCCATCAGCCCACAGGGGGCTTCGCTCCTGACCATCTTCCATGGTCAAGGATCTTCACGCTCTCTGCCAAGTGGACCGTCGTTCGGTCCGCGAAAAGTATATCCACAGGCCACACTACGCTGGGTGTGGAGCCTAGCCTCCCCTCAGGAACCAAACAAATGCAGAGTGCTATTTCAGGCCACGGGGTTGAGGTTGACCAAAGGAGAAAAGGGTGAGTTTCATGCTCTGTGGGCTAGCTATCCACAATAGACCGGTTGTCCTGAGTGGACTTGTTGCCGTGAATGGAAAAGAGCACGTTACTAAGACTTTTGATGGTGCTGATCAGGCCTGGAGACTCGTACTCGTTGCAGTCCATTCCTCTAGTAGTGGAAGTAGTGATTGGTATGCACGACTCCCCTTTCTTAGCGATAGCAGTCACAGTATGGATGCTCAGAGCCCGGGGTAATGGGTAACGACTTCCGAAGTTCCGCGGGCCCTCTGAGTTTGACGGACGCCGGGCAAATTTTGTGTAACTGAAAGGTTCCGCACCGCCGCATTGTTCCTGCATGGTGCCGGCCAATCCAGACTGATCGTGCTGGGTATACCGAATGGAATAGCCCAACCAGCGAGCCTCTCATTCCAAATCTGAAAACGCGCACGGGGAGCCTGAGAAGGACTCTAAAGTCCATATCGATCCTTAATCATATTTGATTCTATTTCTGGTGCATCGAGAAGAGCACGGCTGTCTCTGACGTCTCTGTGAGGTTTAGGCTCCGGCTTTAGCCCGCGGATCCGTAAGTTGAAAGGCTTGCTGGCAAGCCACCCAGCAAGCCACATACATGCTGGAAAGAGCTCTCTCCAGCAACTTGAAACTTGGAGTAAGGGACCACCATGGGGCCTGTATGTCATGATTGCCATCCCGCACTGCGCAGGTTCTACGGCCGCCGTCACAACAACTGGTAGATACAGCCCATGCATATCTACTTTTGAGTACTGCTCAATCGACAGTGTCAACGGTCGTGATCGCTGTGTTCTGCCGATCCGGCGGGCGAGAATTGAAGAAGTTTATGATGATGGGATCCAGAGCAAGCCGATCAACAGGCCGATGGACGGCGAGAACCCGGAAAAGATCCAACGGAAAGAGCTTCCTTCCGATGAAGTACTCATGACGCCGAGCGGTCTAACTTGGGCAAGTCCCTTGGGCGAAAATGGAGTAGTGTGCTTTAGACGAATCGACGGACTCGGACTGCCAAACGATGGCCCGGGCAACGGAGTCCCTCGGAAGGCTGGAGTAATCATGAAGCGGACACTCTGCACTCTACTTTAGCGTAGGACTCAATCTTGGCGGCGTGGCGGGGATGTTATGATTTCATTGTCGATTTGGACTCTGACTCTTGTAGGTCTTCTATCAGGTTAGCAGCCCCTAGTCTGCTTCAGAATAAACGGGGCCAACCAGGGATCCTTGGGCCATCCAGGAACCAGTCGGCGGTGATTGGGAGGACAGAAAAAGAAGCAACATCTCTGACAGCCGGCTGTTTTGATTTGAGAGGATTAGTGCTCTGCGTTAAGGTCCGAGGTTTGTCCACGAGCAGTAGTTTTGCAGCGATCGTTGCCGAACATGTTCCTGAACCAAAGTCAGGAAGACAAAGTTGAAACTCGGTGCTCTGGGTGGCGTTCGCTGGTTCCTGGCTGTGACCCACCAGCTAAGAGCTTGAGAGTCAGGCCAAGGGTCATGGCACACTCTGGCAGATGAACCTCGAGATCGCAGGATCATGGATGGATCGTTTCACAATTCATTCACACTGACGTCGGTTGCTTGATCGCCTCGCGGCTCAGCTTAGCGGGCTCAGAAACATGGAGATAGATCGCGATCGTAAATCCTCGCTTCCGGGGTCTCGGTGTCCTATCCAATTCCCACCCCCGGCCATCTGTTGAACAGTGCAGGCCCAATTAATTTGGCCATCGGACATACCAGACAGAGGCCTCTGTGATAGGGGTCTTTAATTTCGCTAGCCATCAACAAGGCAAAGTCGAGAGATGCAGAGAGAGCCAGAGTTGGCGAGTCAAGGCCGCAGGAGGCGTCCGGCAATTCGCTGCCGCAGACCATGTGATCCGCTCTTTCTTTGGCGGCCAATTCTTGCGCTCCTCCACAAGTCTCAGTCTGTTGCAGCATTTCCCCCCGATTTCAACACTATCCCTTTTCCAGCTATAGAGACTGGGAGTCGGAGCCATGACCTACGACCGCCGCCTCGATACAGAGATGTTCTGGATCGCTCGGAGAACTCAACCGACTTTGCTCTTGACAGCCCCAGCCTTGATGCATCGGTGACAGATCACAGTTATCAGGCCATCAACAGCTCATGTTTTCGCCGTTGATGCTCGGAATTACAGTCGGGATCTGGCTCGAGCAGCAACAGGGAACAGGTCCGACCAACAAAGGGGCAACGGGCTCGAGTGCAGCTGTGACATCTGCATGGCTTTGCCCATGATCTATGCACCCTGTCAGTTATACGCGGTTAAGCAAGGGCCCGCCGCCTCTTGAGATGCTGGAGCCCGGATGGAAGCCAGTCCCCAATCCCACCAAAGGCGAAGGGAGCGGTGTTGCAGGCTGCAGTCATTGGGACTGGGCAAGCGTCGAAAGGGGGCCATTCACCTGGTTGAGTAGGCCCGATTGTCGAATTCCAAATTCGCTGGCCTCAGACCACGGTCCATGAGTTCGACTATATGATAGCCTAGTCCGCTTGGACTCGATTCTGGAATCCCATCACTCGATAGTTTACTGGTTCGCAACTGACTCAGCGATGTCCAATTCTTCATGCATCCACAGCACGGAGAATTGATACGAATCTCGCATATCCTCCGGCCCCCACAGTCTATTGAACAAACGGCTGGGGAAAAGCAAATCTGACTTTTGGGCAGAACCTTGAATCCAGTTGCGACCGCGAGGAAAGAATCTGGAAGCTGAATGCATTTCGGCCCATCGCCCGGGTCTGTGTTACATCGCACGACGGTGCTATCGTCCTATGCAACATACTGTGCTCCGTATGTCGTCTTGAGTTGAAATGATACCATGGGCCGGGTCGTTGGACGGTTGGACGAGTGCAATCATGATGCATGGCAGCAGTCTGGCATCCATGCTCATGGCACGTTTCGGAACTTGGATACCCAGTCTTCCAGACGTCGCATCAGTCAGGTGGCACTGAGCGGTAAAACGCTCATTTGAAAAAGCTTTTTAGAACCAGTATGAACGTAGATACATGATACCCCTGCGGAGTACGGATACGGAGTACTGCTGGACTTCGACGTGATCATAGTTTACGCACATCGCCTGTTTGTGTCTATCTTGAGTATTCTGCAACTTTTTTGGGTCTAATATCAGAATTCGACTGTTCATATGCTCCAATATGATGCATCATTTTCTACTGGACTGCCTTAGAATGGCTTTGTTTACATTCGCGATTGCCCTTAGCAACCATCACGTGTGGGGCTAGTCCGCATCAGGACGCGGAAGGACCTCCCAGCCTCTCGAGTAATTCTGTTTACCATCGACAATATACAGACAACAGGAGCACAACAAGCAACCGCGGCCGCCAACCCGGGGAACCTGCGACGGATGCAGCCGAACGCGTCAGGCCGCCCTACATGAACTACGACAATGGCGTCCCCGAATTCTCTCTCCACCGCCCATGCGACAGCTCTGCATCAACAACAGTACCGACAGATGTCCCGCGCCTCCGTCTCTCGCTCCGGGTCCAGGCGCTCCTCACCTGAAATCCATCACCCCGTTGCTCTCCGGAGCAGCGCTGCATTGATATCCAAGCAGTATTCCGCCGGCGACAGCTCCGATGACGAAGTGCCGGAACCGAAATTCAGCGCGTCTGTCAAAGCGCTTCTTGACGAGGACGATGGGAAGTCTTCGCCCCGCCTACGAAACAGGGGCCTAAACGAATATCGATCCAATATGCGCGTGGGATCGGCTTCGTCAAGCAATGAAAGGCGCTCCCGTACCACCTCACCGCTTGATCAATCGAACGGAAGCCCGGCTCCGCGGGTTGTCCGCTTAGGATCTGTTCTAGGAAGCGGCTCGAGGTCACGAAGAGAAGGATCACACTTATCTAGTGGTGAGAATGCGGAGGTGGAAGCGGAGCCAAAACAGTACTCGGCTGATTTCATCACACCGGGCCCTCGGACGCGCAGTGTTCGGATCAATGCGTCGCGTAGTCACACCCGATCTCCTGCGTCCGGATCACCGTCCGAGAGGCGATCTGCCAGTCAAAGCCCTCTGCACGAGCAATCAAGCGCTGATCGCGCTGAAGATGAGGGAAGATCTAGATACGATGACTACGTCCCAGGCATTGGAGCGTCCTCTGTGCTTCGTTCTCGCAACCCCGAAGACATTGGTGTTCAGAGCTCCCTGCGAGTTAAAAGGGTCGGCAGGCTGACGGGAACATTCCTCAATGGCCCTGCGAGACGTGGTGTGCTGCGACGTCAGAGTGAGGAGAACCAGTCTCCCAGTTATCTCTCCGACTCCAAGGAAGCAGAAGGCGGCGACAACAATGAATATAAATATAAAAGCAGCGTACGAGCATCATCCCCCAAAGTTTCATGGGCAGAACCCGAACCACCACAGAAGAGCACAGACTCCCGGCGCATCTCGTCCGGTGACGGGCCATTTTCAGGATCCTCCTCGCCTAGAACATATGCCTCACACTCCAAATCAACCCCAGGATCATCATCTGATGCGTCCTCAAAACCTTCAGGCTCGAAAGAGCCCATCTTCAAAGTACCCCCTCCCCCGACATTGCCATCTGCCCGTGACCAAGAGAATGAACCTCCACCGACGTTTAAGCGAACCAAGCCACAGGGATTCAATTTTCTGGACAAGCCAGAGAAGCTCTCGGTGGTCTACGGCGATGAGAAGAAGGATCAGGAGCTTCCAGCAGGCACTACCCCAAGGAAGATTCTGTCTAACCGAAGCAACAACACTCCCCACAGACCGGCGCCTCCTCCTCCGAAGATGTCCGTACTGGAAACTGCCACGGCAACTGGCGGCGCGGCCACCGCTTCTCAGTCGCGCAAGAAACGTAGCCAGGTCTCTATCAACCACAAGCCGTTCACCCGCTTGGATTGCATTGGCCGTGGTGGTAGCTCGCGAGTCTACCGAGTGATGGCGGAGAACTATAAGATCTTTGCTCTGAAGCGAGTAAACCTGGAGGATGTTGATCCGACCACCTTGGCTGGCTACAAAGGAGAAATTGATCTTCTCAAGAAGCTGGAAAACATCGATCGTGTCGTGCGGTTGTTTGACTGGGAATTGAATTCGGATAAGCACACTCTCAGCGTGCTCATGGAAATTGGAGAGTCGGACCTGGAGAAGGTTCTGACGTATAAGCTGAATGCAGAGGATGCCACCCTGGACATCAACTTTACGCGTTTCTACTGGAAGGAGATGCTGGAGTGTGTCCAGGCGGTTCACGAGCACAACATTGTTCATTCCGACTTGAAACCCGCGAACTTCCTTCTTGTCCAGGGAAGACTGAAACTGATCGACTTCGGAATTGCCAACGCTATCCAAGACAACACTGTCAATGTACACCGTGAGCAGCAGGTCGGAACACCGAACTACATGTCTCCTGAGGCACTGGTCGACTCAAATGCCTCTCTGGGGTTACCAGCAAGTGTTGGAAAAGTGATGAAGCTCGGCAAGCCGAGTGATGTATGGAGTCTGGGTTGTATCCTGTACAAGATGGTCTACGGGCATCCTCCGTTTGCGAAGATTGCGAAATACTACGAGCGCATCATGGCAATTCCGAATCCTAAAGTGAAGATCGACTTCCCAGCTTTTGGTGTTGGCGGCATCCAGGTTCCACCAGGTCTTATTCGGACTCTGAAAGGATGTCTGCAGCGTGATCAGACACTACGACCAACCATCAGCGACCTTTTGGGTCAACGGGACCCATTCCTGTATCCCGACGCGCAGCTCGAGGGCGCCGTTCCCATCACTCAGGACGTCTTGGGCAGAATTCTGGTCAACGTCGTTAACCACTGCCGAGTCCGCGGCGTGCCCAACGACGAAGAACTCGCTGCCTGGCCAGCGGGCTTTTTTGCAAAGATCAAAGCAGCTTTGGAAGAGAATCCATAACACTGGTCTAACTATCTCATGTGTTCGTTTTGACTTGGTGTTTTTGAAACCCTGATGACTTGACTACCTTATGACCGACTTGACTTGACTTGACCGGATTGATTTCTTTTGTACAAGATTTGGCTTCTTGTTGATTTTTTCGGCTTCTTCTTTTTGACTACCCTTTTGTTTTGTTTTGAATAGGGCTGCCTTGGTGTTTGGGTGTTGACTTTGCATACATACAGCATGGATGCTGTCAGCGTGGAGTTTGTATATTGGGTACTTAATGATTCTCCTACCTTCGTGTACATATTTATATGGCTTAGAGGCCACAATTGATCATTTTCAACTATAGCCGTGTCTCTTGTCTCATAATTCTACCAGGTCTTTTGATGCTGCCCGGAAATTTCGTTCCCAGTCCTGGCGTGTTATATATATTTGTGACTTTCAAGCTTGAATAGGACATAGCCCCAGCCATCAAATGATAAGGACAGGCAGCATAGTCACGAGGGATTGGCTATAAATGAATTGAAACACCATTGAAATATAAATACAGTACGATGCACGAGTCTTCAAATTTCCATATCTGTACACATCCTCCCCAAGCAGCGTCCACCCAAAATCGATGCTTACGCCTTGTCCTCCCCAACAACAATCTCCCCCTCTTTCTGCAACTCCTCCACAGACTTAATCTTCACCTCCATAACCCGCAGCAGCGTATACCGATGCTTACTCGTAATGCGCTGCACATGCCTCCTCCGCCTCTTCGTCTTCTCCTTCACACGCAGCGGCTCCGAATCAACACCCATGACCCGAACACGGCACTCGAAGAGCCGCTCATCGACGTACGGCGCCCCCTTGAGCGTGAAGTCGCGCGAACCCAGCACGGACGCGCGGTTGAAGCGGAGCACGTCGCCCGGCTGCACGCCTGGCATCAGGAAGGGGAGGCGCAGGTGGTCGCCTTCTGTTACCAGGTAGGGTCTGTCGTGCAGATGGGCGGTGATGTAGTGCGGTTTTTGGTGAGAGAGGAGGGGGAGCGTCTCGAGGAGGGACTTTGGCACCGTTAGGGGTGCGCTGAAGGTTGGGGCGATGGGTTGTTTGGATGCGGGCACGTCGGCGCGGGTTGTTGGGGTTTTGGTTGGGAGGGGGGTTGGTTGCGGGATGGGTGTGGAGGATTGAGCTCGCGGCGAGGCGCTGAGGGGTTCTTCGGGGGTTGGTGTGGTTGTTGCGGTTGTCTGGTGCAGGCACGCTCGGAAGGTGGTGCTTGTGAAGGATGGGCGGGCGGCTTGCTCGAGGGGGAGGGCGAGGGCCCTTGCGACTGCAGAGCGGGAGAACATTGTGGTGAGAGGTGCTCTGCCACCAATTCCAATTCCAATTCCAATTGGTGTATGTGGGTTGAGAGGGCTGGGATGGACGGTTCCTGGCCTGGAGCTGCGGCCGATGAGAAATTCAGATGGAGTCGAGATAACAGGTCACGTGCGCGATTATCGCTCGAAACTTTTTTGATCTCCGCCTCCAGACAACCACCACCTTCATCAGTCTATCAACCCCGTATAATCTGTCATCATGGTACGTTTCTATTTGCTAACTCTGATTCGGCTTGAGTATGTATGCTAACTAATTCCAAAACAGCCTCAGAACGAGTTCGTCCCCCAGCCACAGCCCACCCATTCATCCCACCTAACAACCTACCAGGTATATCGAGCGCTGGACCAAGCAACATGGTAAGCGCTTGGACCACGACGAGCGAGTCCGCAAGCGCGAAGCCCGTCAAGCCCACCAGCAATCCAAGGATGCCCAGAACCTCCGCGGTCTGCGGGCCAAGCTGTACCAGCAGAAGCGCCATGCCGAGAAGATCCAGATGAGGAAGCGCATCAAGGCGCAGGAGGAGAAGAACGTCAAGTCCTCTGCGCCTTCCGAGCCCTCCAAGACGCCTTTGCCCCAGTACCTGCTCGACCGCTCCGAGGCTACAAATGCGAAGGCTTTGTCTAGCGCCATTAAGGACAAGCGTGCGGAGAAGGCGGCTAAGTTTGCTGTGCCTTTGCCTAAGGTTAAGGGTATTAGTGAGGAGGAGATGTTCAAGGTTGTCAACACCGGAAAGAAGACGCATAAGAAGTCGTGGAAGCGCATGATCACGAAGCCGACGTTTGTTGGAAACGACTTTACCCGACGACCTGTCAAATATGAGCGCTTTATTCGGTGAGTTTCGATCTGGGATATTGGGGTGAAGGGATGCTAATTGGCTTTAGTCCTATGGGTCTGCGATACAAGAAGGCCAACGTTACACAGTATGTTCTTTTCGCCTGGTGGTAGTTAAGACTCGCTAACATAATATCTGCAGCCCCGAAATGGCCGTCACCGTCCAGCTCCCCATCCTCTCCGTCAAGAAGAACCCCCAGAACCCTCTCTACACCCAACTCGGTGTTCTCACCAAGGGTACTGTCATTGAAGTCAACGTCTCCGAGCTCGGTATCGTCACCGCAGGTGGAAAGGTTGCCTGGGGTAAATACGCCCAGGTTACGAACACGCCCGAGAACGACGGCTGTGTTAATGCGTATGTCCCTATCCGCCCGGTCTTATCCGCAAAATCACCTCTAACCGCTATGCCAGTGTCCTCCTCGTTTAATCATCTTGACGCCGAAGAAAGACCTCTTGATACCATTTATGTCCTAGACTTCTGTTTTCCTACACTTTCTATGTTCACGGACGGCGTTTTTGGCGTGCCATACTGTCTTAGTCATATTTCTCAGAAAAGTATTCCAAACGATATTCGACATCAATGAATGAAGGTTCAATATATCTCGTCATTCCTCGCCCGGTGGACCTTTGCGAGTCACATACCCAAGCTGGGTTCTGGGCGGTTTGTGTGGACACTGTTCAACGTCACTACACTCTCGGACATATTATCTCGAGAACAACAACGTGCATCGAATGACGTAGTATTCTCACCTCCGAACAGCCATCGCTCCTCCATAGCTGGGGAATCTTTCCTTCTCAACCTCGGGGCTGTGAATTATGGTCATATACTCCGATCGGCATGGTGAGCTGACGACCGCAATATATATCCGCGCACCGGCGATTTATCAAGCGCCCACGGCATTAGTCTCTTTGACTTTATTCTATATATAGATGCGATGCAGCATACAACCATGGAGCGGAACTATAATATAAATACTGACTATCAGCCGAACCCCGGCCATTGAGATGGGTGCATAGCTGCGTACTGCAATTGCAACGACAAAATATCGTCTCAGCTTGTTCTTCACTAGTAAATAAAGGTTATAGATTATTAAAGGTGGCAAACATACATCAACCAGCTTCAGTGGTCCAACGGTAGGATCTTCGCCTTCCAAGCGAATGGCCCGGGTTCGACTCCCGGCTGATGCATCTTTCTTTTGCATTTTCTTTTTTGACATCTGTGATGGAGACGGTGCGTGGAGATATTGACGGTGTGGAGGCGTAGGAGCGATATCGGATTAGGGCCGACGGTCCGCGCGCCGGGGCTGGACCGGACGACCGAGTATACCCGTGCTTGTCGCGAGCAGAGAAAGAAAGGCAGGGTAGATCCGTTGGAAGACTCTGTTATTGACTGTACGCAATGCACAGTATAGACACAGGTATGAACACACTATATAACGGGCTAAATGCAACGTAGACAAAATAATATGTACAGCAGAAGCCTCTACGACCATCAAGACAATCACCTAATCAACATCTTCACCACCCGCCTTCGCCAGACGGTCCGTTGTTACAATGTAATCATCATCATCCTCGTCACCATTGACGGCGGTCGCAGCCCCCGGACTCACCAAAGACCCATCAAGGGACGAGTCCGAGTCGGCATTGCCATTTGCAACGGCGGACCTGCTCTTCCAGGCGGTGGCTTTACCCTTGCCCTTACTACTGCCGACGGACTGGCCGCTGGCACTGCGCATACTGGCGTATGCCGCCTGTTTACCCTTCCCCTTGCCGGGGTCCTCATCATCAGCGCCATTTGTGACGGGGCCGCCAATGTAGTCGTTAACGTCGTGACCGAGCTTGAGAGCCTCGATTGCGTCGCCGATGGTGTTTGGTGTTGGCGTTGACTCCGGTTTTTGCTTGTCTTTGTCGGTGGACTCGAACATTTGGCGGATGCGTTCGAAGTGCTCTAGTTCTTTGGCGCTGGGGATTGTTAGTAGTGGCCGCTATCAGGGTATGGAAGGGAAGCATACCTAACGCTAGGAACGAGCTCGCCCTGCGCGGCGTCAAAGTCCTCCTCGGTGACCATCACGGCAACGTCATCGGGAGTGGAAAGGTGATCGAAGAAGTAGGCGGTGCTGACGGGGCCGCCAGGGAGTTGCTTGATCTTTTCGTCTACTGCTGTAGCCTTGCGTGTGATTGCCTTGAGCATGGCGTCGGAGCACAGGGCATAGAGATCGGCACCGGTATATGTAAGAGGCAGCCGCTCGGAGACTCGAGACAGCGAGAGATCCGGAGCGAGAGCGAACTTTCTCGTCAAGGCTTCCAGGATGGTCGCTTGTTTTTCATGCGTGTCAGAAACGCCGAGGTAGAGCATCTTGTCGAAACGGCCCGGACGGAGAAGGGCCGTGTCTAGGAGATCAGGTCGGTTGGTGGCACCAATCACAAACACGCCACCACTGTTCTCCTCTCCTCCATTCATGCCGTCAAGCTCAGCTAGAAGCTGACTGACGATTCGGTCCATTACACCGCCGCTGTCGCCTTGGTTACCTCGCTTGGGAGCGACGGAGTCCAGTTCGTCGAAGAAGACGACACAGGGTCGAGCATCGCGTGCTCGCTGGAAAACGCGACGGACGTTCGCCTCGGACTCACCAATGTACATGTTGAGCAGTTCAGGTCCTTTGACAGAGAAGAAGTTTAGGGAGAATTCCGTAGCAATGGCCTTGGCGAGGAGAGTCTTTCCAGTACCGGGAGGACCATAGAACAAGATACCACTTCGCTTCTTCATGCCCTTGGCAAAGAGCTCTGGCCGTTCCAGAGGCAGCTGAATGGTTTCGACCAAAGCATCCTTGACGTTTGTCAAACCACCAACATCGTCCCAGCTGACGTTGGGGATCTTGGGAGCGCCGATGGAGTCGGCGAAGTTCTTCCTGGCTGCGTCTACAGCGGTATCAAAGTCTGCCTTGGTGACACCTCGCACGGCCTCTCCCCCAGCAAGGAGAACATCGCGGACAGAGATCTTGGTGGTGGAAAATTGTTTGTTGGCAATATCAGCCAGTTTTTCCAGCCGACTTGACCGCGCAACGGAAGCCCGCTCGACGACGTCCACTAGATCTCCAGCAACAAGAGCGGCCGTTTTGAGAGCAACCGTGCCTAGGTCAACATCAGGTGCCAACTTGATGCTGCGCTCGGAGACGGCGTTTCGCAGTATCCCCTCTCGCTCCTTCTCTTCAGGGGCGGTGATCTCGAACTCATGCGTAAACATGCTTCGAATGCCTTCTGGAATCTGCTCAACATCTGTGGTCGTGGCGATAATGACCCTAGCATCCGCCAAAATCTCGGTCATAGCCGATACAATCCGGTCTGCAGTCAAGACCTCGATATGCTTGATCAAAAGAGCCGTGCAGTCAGCACCGCAATGGAATGCACGCTCCGCTCTAGCCTTCAAATAAGCCTCGGTTTTGACGTCGCCACCATTTGCACCACCTTCAGTAAGGATATCGTAGGCGTCTATTGGGAAGGTATGCAGACCGATATCTGCACACGCCCGAGTCGCCAAAGTAGCTTTTCCAATGTGTCGTTGTTGCGATCTTAGAAGAATGACCACCGGCTTCATCCCGAGCTGAATCGCACGGGAGCTTGTGGCCACGGCCATGAGGTCCCGGACACGGTGCTGGACTGGAGAAACGAACGGCTGCGGCAGCTCGGTCACGACACCGTGTATTGTTTGCGCGTCGACTACGGGCTTTGGGATAGACTTCGTTCCAAGCCAGTATTCCCAGCCGTTGTTAAGCGTGTTAGGGATGCGACTGACATCGCTGCCAGCTTGGACCATTCGCGTAGATGCCGAATCTATAACAGCAACGCCTCCCCAGTCAAACTCGCCAAGGTCATCCTGATCATCGGACAGGCTTGGAATGACCTGACCAACTCGGAACCAAGCAACACCGATCTTCTTCGGCCCAGTCCTATCCGAGTCATGTCCGGGGCCTAGCCTGATCGTAATATCATCGTCCTGCCCTTCGGCACCAGTCCCCGCGAAAACAGCTCGACCAAGGGTTTCATCGATGCTTATGCCGAGTAAATCTCCACTTTTCAAAAGTCGCCGCTTCGATTCAAAGTACTGTTTCAGCCCAGCAAACAGGGCTGGCTGCAGCACACGGTCCATCGACAGTGGCGTGCTGACTTTTAGCAACGTTACTTCCTTCGCCACGGGAGGGCTGCGAGTGACAGTCTTCATCTGATGCAAGACGCCAGATTTGGGAGCGCCAATGCCGCCAAGGTTCATTGGAGAGATCCGGAGGTATTTGGGATTATCCATATTGTTCAAAAGGATGGGGGGCACAAAGACCGAAGGTGTCATGCGCACACCAGGGCGTTGGGAGATGCTTAAGCGCCGATCTCCAGACTGTTTGATCGAATAGCGAGGCTTAGCGGATGGCAGTCCAGGAAGGCCGTAAATCTTGACTGCGCGCCAGTCACCATCTTCGTACTGTTCATTAAAGCTGCCGAGCTTGATGGAAGAGAAAATGTTGGCCTGGGGCTCCTCAGAAGCCTCAATGCGAACCCAGTCTCCCGAAAAACAGCCAATCTTGGCCAATGTACTGATGTCTACAAAGATAACGGCCTCCGCATCGTCATCATCCCTTGGCTTGGGGTAGAGAAGTTCGTTCGGGACACTACGCAGCAAGCCCTCTGCTTTGAAAACCTTGCCGCCGCTCTGCCGACCGGGACGTAGGGTGGATGACGTGAGGTTCGACACTATCGAACCGGGAGTATGAACTCCATCCATGCGTCGACCGCGAGGCGTAGCTGAAGTGATTGTAGACATCACACCCGAGGCCGGCTGCGGTAGCTCAGGTGCACTGAGCGAAATCATGTCATCGAGCGAGTCATCCGACGTATCGCTCATATTTCCGCCGGAACCTTCGGTTTCCGATTCTTCCGCATTGGATGTGGTCTCCATCTCAGTGCTGTCGTCAACGGGCTTGTCCTCCGCGGCCGAATAGAACTGCTCGTTGGAGGTGTCGTCCGCCTCGTCCTCGGCCACTTGTTTGAGGAGGCCAGATGCCGACCGCAAGTTCCGCTGGGCGCGGGTGCCATGGGGGCGTGCCTGAATAAGTACGATCTTGGTGGTAGGAAGCAGAAGACCTTGCGAGACCGGCTCGCAAAACGAAATAAGGGCTGGGGGCGCTGGTGCGTAGGTTATAGGGTGCGGCGGCAGTGGAAGCGGGAGTGAGTCGCCGGTGTGCACCACCCGCTGCGTCCCCAAAGCCTCGCGCACAGCGGCTGTAAGCCTCCCTTCAACCTCCGCGGCGGCCCTTTTTGAGTACCTCTTGGGCTCCACTCCTTTCCCCTTCGCCCAGAGCCCATTAGACCCGTTGGCATTGGAAGGAAATCCGCCTCCAAATCTGCTTTGTACATCGTCGTGATTGCGCAGAAGATCCCGCTCCACGGTCACGTATATTGTATCAAGAGGTAAAGGAACCACGTCTAGGACTCGGATCTCGATCAAACGTAAGGTCTGCGGAGATTGCCGGGTAGGATCTAGCTTGCTCAAGGCACGGACAAATGGCTGCAAGGAGTCGGCGGAGTCGGGGAATATAATTGTTGAATGCGGGAGCGGCGACTCATTCGAGCGACCAGCGGATTGCGGGCGAACAGGGACAACAGTCCACGTCAAGGCCTCGACGGAACTCGGACCGGGCAAGTATGGAGAGATTGCGATATAACGTATACCGGAGTCGTCGTGGAAGTCATCTAGATCAGGAGGAGATCAGCACAAGCAGTTCAGGCGCTTCCCCGCAGTTCGCACTCACCGGTCGGATCGGACGGCTGAAAGAGGTCGTTGGCCAGGTCGTCCGAGACGACACCAACGCTCCCTCGCAAATGATGGTCTAGTGAGAGACGCGCAGAGATAGGCGCTTTATTACGTAGTCGTTTCCGCGCAATATTCCTTCTTCGGCGTTTGGGCTGGACGGAGTTGAAGTCGTGGCGTTCGAGGTCCATGATGGGAGCGGAGTCGGACGAGGGGCGCGGAGTCAGCAAGGGACAGGGACGGGGCAGGGGCGTGAATCAGCAGGACATTGGCTCAGCAGGTACACATTCGCACTCGACAGACGACAATTGAGAGGACAGGTACAGTCCAAGAGACAGGGTGGAAGCTGGAGACGATCGAAAGTTGGAGAAAGTCCGGGGAGACTCTCAGGCTCTCGGCACCGCCCGCGCCTTCAGTTCTGTTCTGCCTCCCGAGCCGAGGTCCATCAGCTTCACAAGTCTGTTGAATCATCAAGAGACATGGAGAACATCAATTCATTGTCGACATCCTAGGAGCCATCAAGCCATAGCCTCAATGATGCGCTCGAGCATTGAACCCAAGTGGTAGCCACGCCGCTAACACCTGTGGACGACCACACAGGCTAACAGACACGCGCCTCGCATGATCAGCATTCTCAATGATGATCAAGGCCTCGAAAAGTCTAAATATGCAGATACAGAATCCTCATTGCGATGAATGGTGATGGTGCTGTGATCCCCGCGGCAGCTGCATGGTCAGCACATCACGATTGGATCGTTGCCTACCTACCTGGAGGATCCGTTATCGGCGACCATGGCTTCAGACACGACCAAGCCAGCAGCTCAACTTCACGGAATAATATCAATATCCCGAGTGGAGGAGCTTGAACAAGGCACGAAGGAGACGAGAAAGAGAGCTCGTGGCATTACGAACCAGTCCGTTGGCCTTCTACAGCGTCCGTCTGCTGTGCTACAAGCCTACATAGTACAATCTGTGTGAGATGCATACGAGCAAACCTTCCGCAGCAGCTGAAAATTGGGGTTCGTTTCCTGCCCCGATATGCGCACCTGCGGTTCATGATTGCCGAGCTCTCTGTTAGCTAAAGGAGGCTGGCTGATTTGTATTGAAGACTGAGCTGCTTCTTGATTTGCAACGATCAACAATGGTACAGATGAGCAACAGACAAAGCAACCAACTTGGATCTTTTTCATACATCGATTGAACTATGTTGGCCTGCAGAACCCTGGCTGCCCAACCGCGGGGTCCTCTGAGTGCAGATTATACTACGAATGGACCTGAAGGTTGATCTGAAGCTCATGCAAAAAGAAATTATGCTCTGCTGCCCACCACCATCAGGATCAGGAGGAAATACTATTTGGCCACGGTCATCTCGCTAAGACACAATGAGCAGCGCGGTCTCCTGCAGTCATCCTGTCATGGGATCCTGGTCGAACTGAGACGGATGGTACTTCCGAATACCAGATGGTCAAGCATTTAAGAGCTGTTTTGACCCCACGCGCGAGAGCTTTCTACCGCAAATAATCTTGTTTTTGAACACAGAAGATCTACCTATCTTGTCAACTCCCGCCATGGACCGCTTCAAGGAAAGCAAACAAGCCGGCCGCAGACTACTTGTCAATTACATTGATGCCATAGCTGTTGAGAATCCCACCAAAGTTGTCTTCACACAGATCATCTCCTTCGACCCGCCTGTCCAGTTTGAGGTCACTTATCAGGCACTGTCGAACATCATAAATTGTCAGGCCTGGCAGTTGACGGAGAGTCTGCATGGAAAAGCTAGAAACACCACCATCGCGTATTATTCCTTTTGCTCACGCTCATGCTAGACTGCTGACCGGCTTTTAGCTACATAGGCCCCAGCGACGCCAGGCATCTTATCTTGTCTCTTGCGGCAGTGAAGGCCGGATCTAGGGTAGGCAACGGCCATTTTTTCACATTAAAGCTAACTCCAGAACAATAGCTCTTGCTGTTATCCCCTCGAAACAGTGTCGCAATCCATGAGCATCTTATCAAGGAGACTCAAAGCTCTGGTATCCTATATGACTCCTCGTTCTCGACAACTGTCTCAGAAATGACTGCGCTTGGGCAGTTAACTGCGGTCCAAGCTCCGGAGCTTGTAGATCTTCTTTCAGACACAACCATCGTTAACGAATATCCGTACTGGGATACGTTCCAAGATGCATCAGACAAGCCACTCGTGGTATGTAAAACCTTGCATAGGCGAATCACAATGTCTGACATTGGTAGCTCTTTCACACCAGCGGATCTACAGGAATGCCCAAGCCAGTAACCTTTGTTCATGCTGCTATGGCTTCCGCCGACAACTTCCGGGACCTGTATTCGAAGGTCTCGTACCGTGTGAGCGCCCAAAAGGTTATTGATGCTGCACAAGGCTTCTACAATGGGTGTCCCCTTTTCCACCTTGCTGGCTACGTTGTGGGATTCTTTGCGGTCTTTAGTGGCTGCGTTGTGGTAATACCACCTCCGAACCAGCCCTCTAGCCCTCAGATGTTCAAGCAAGTCATGCATGCCACGCATGTCGAGGGCGCGTTGCTACCGCCACTTGTAGTTGACCAGATTGCTCAAGACCCAGCCATGGTCGAGGAAGTCGCTAAGCTCAAGTTCATCACATTCGGGGGCGGTAAGTGTTTTACGAAACAGAATATCACCGTCAGTAGGGTGCTGACAGAAGTAGGCTCTTTAAGCCGAGCAGCTGGAGACTTGCTCGCGAAAAAGACCCACATGCTCAATGTTCTCGGTAGTAGCGAGTGTGGTACTTTCGGTGTGTTCATGACCGAACCGGAACACTGGGACTGGTTTCATTTTGCCGAGGAGGAAATGGGGATCGAGTGGGAGCCTATTGACAAGGACACCGACAAGCCAGAGCTTTTCGAGTTGGTCCTCCGCCGCCGCGATCTTCCACAGAGACAGGCAGTTTTTGCCAACTTCCCAGACCTGGACGAGTGGCACACAAAGGACATCTTCTTGCGCCACCCAACGATCCCATACTACTACAAGTACCAAAGCAGGAAGGACGACGTGATTGTCTTCTCCACCGGCGAAAAGACGAACCCAATCGACGTTGAAGCAGCAATCACTTCTCTTCCTGGGGTGGAAGCAAGCATAGTGGTCGGGCATAAACGACAGTATCCAATTCTATTGGTTGAGCTGGCAGATTCCGCGACTGCGGACGAGACCCTGCCTCGCATACACAAAGCGTTGGAAGAGCTTAACAAGCTGAGCATGAAATATGCCCAGATCCACCGGGGTGACGTCCTCATTGTCCCATCAGAGAAGCCTTTTGTTCGAACCCCCAAAGGGACAATCAATCGCAGCCAGACCAATAAGCTGTATGCAGAAGAGATTCAAGCCCAGTATGATTCGGCCACAGATATCCCAGATCAAGCGCTCCAAACGAAGCTTGACCCGTCAACTGACGAAACCCTTGCGAAGACCATTGCAGACATGGTTGGTGACCTCACAGGAGTTAAAGACCTCGGCATCAATGACGACTTCTTCGCGAGTGGTTTGGACTCGCGTCAGGTGCAGATACTTGCAGCAGCACTGACCCGGTCCCTACCGGAGCAGAATGATATACTGTTTATCCGGAATGCAGTGTACATGAATCCAACTGCCAGTGGACTTGTGGATCATATCCGCCGTAATGCCGCGGAAGATGTATCGGCAACACTTGATGCGCTATTTGACAAGTATGACGCTCTTCCGCCCTATCATCAAGTAACTAACAGCGACAGGTATTCTTCACTGCTACCCCAGCCGGCAAAAGCAACGCCGCCAAGCGCCAGAAAGGATGCCCACCACATCCTGTTGACAGGAAACACCGGCTTCGTCGGCGGCTTCATCCTCCAGTGCCTCCTACAACGCTCAGTCGTCACCGAGATTACCTGCATCAACCGTAGACTCCCCGATGCTAATTCGGCTTCAAACCCAGCCATAGTAGTCAATCACTTCAAAGGCGACCTCTCACAGCCCTTCTTCGGTCTTCATAAAGACGCCTATGCACATCTCGTCTCTTCCGTTACGGAGGTGATTCACTGCCAATGGCCGGTCACCTTCAACCTCCCCCTTGCGCTCTTCGAGCCTCAGATTGCCGGCATTGCAAACCTAGTCCAGATGGCGTACGACTCGCCGCAAGACGCACGCATCATTTTCCTCTCCTCCATCGCCACCATCCAGGGCTGGGACCAGGGCACGCCTGTTCCAGAGGCGCCGCTCAACTCACTGCAATATGCCCAGGGCGGATATGGACAGAGCAAGATGCTCGCCAGCAAATTGCTCGGCCAGGCGACTACCACAAGTGGTGTTCCCTGTGCAGTCTGCCGAGTCGGCCAAGTCGGCGGACCAATCAATGCGGACGGTAAATGGCCCGAGCGAGACTGGTTCCCGACGCTCCTGCGCGCGTCTGAAATTATGGGTGTCCTCCCCAAGTCCATAGGACACTTCGATGATGTCGACTGGCTCCCAGTTGATTCCCTGTCCGAGGCGCTCGTCACGCTAGCACTCGACTTGGATGATCTGAACTCAGCGAAGACAGGACCCGCTGTCGACGGAGGAGCAGCATACTACCACTTCACGAACCCCTCTGTCTCTCCATACCCAGACCTCGCCCCGGTCCTCGCACGCCGCCTGGCGAAGTCTAACCCAAACCTCGAACTCGTCGACACCCTGCTCGAGTGGACGGAGCGCCTTGCTGCATGGACCCCCGCGAGTAGCGGCGCTGATACTGACGCCGAGAGATCCAAGAAAGTCGAGTCATCCATGGCTGCCGCAACGGCTCTCCTGGAGTTCTACCAGGGCCTGGCAAGGAACCTGGATCAGCCGAATGTGATGCTTGATACGGCGTTGACGGCGGAGAGAATCCCTTCTTTGAAGAGCGTGGGTGCGGTGAGTGAGGCTTGGATTGAACTTTGGTTGGATCAGTGGGGGTTTGGGAAGTAGTGGGGTGGCCTTGAGACTGGATCCTCTGAGGTGAAAATGCGCTTCGAAAGGAGAATGATACCGGTAGAGCCGGGTAGTCTAGCGGTCTGATATCGAGTTCTGAATATGAAGTTCAGCCAATGACTACCTAACTGGCAGCCAACGGCGAGGCTGGTGCCGTACGATCTGTTTGATAGGGTTATCAGCATAACCACGAGTCTTTGTGCCTCCGTTTGTCTGCCCTGCCATTGCTTAGAGTCAACGCTTAGTTTCTATGGCCGTTTGATCGCTTGGTATTAATAGTCTTTCCCTAGCAGGGATTTTCTAGTTCTCTTTCCAATCCATCAAACTTCATGACCATCTTACTATACCATGCTATATCAATAAATGGATATATTGACTGACCAAGCGAGGAACTATAGAGCTATTGATGTGTTTTGTTTGTGCTCTACCCTCAACGTGATTGGCCGAGTCGAAGTAGATTAACCTGCAACCAGCTAGCACCTCGCTAGCCTGATGATTATCTGCTGATTATCTGTGATTATCTGCTGATTAGCAGGCCGTGACTAATCGATTATTTTCCAGGCTTCGGCCCTCTTGAGTGGCTGCAATTTCTTTAGCCCAGTAACCGACATCCCCCCTCCACGAATTCATCGAGCTGAACCTTCCTCTAGGGAGAGCGCGCCAAGTCGAGCTTTATCCTGAAATGTCACCAAAGCCGAGGAAAGAGCCCCAAGAGCCGTCAGGTCAACTTGTGTTCGTGGGAGGCCCGACGCTGCCAGAGTCCGGTGAATTGCGGTCCATAGCGATACGCCGTGCCCTCGAGGAAAGACGCACAGAGAGGCGGCAACACGCGGAGGACCGGCTAGATTTGATGCTGAAGTCCAAGCAATTAGGGCAAGAGGATCAAGCTGGAACGGCCGGGGACAGATGTTCTTGCTTATGCTCGTCCCCGGTGGAGCAGGGCGCTCGGACGTCGTGGCTAGACTCAGAGCCAGCAACCCTAAGACGTCGTATGATCATGCCGAAGGATTGGACTGCGGATTGCTGTCCAACCTGCGGGGGAAGGGCTAGGCCTGTGGCTGGTTCTAGAGCACCCAGCCCACAGTCACCGTGGGCAGGGCGCTCCAACCCGCTGCTGCCTGTAAATGCATTGGTGGACAGGCTCAAGGTCCACGAACTGCTCGATTTCGCGGCCACGACGATATGGCCGCACTTCCGGGGCCTGGACCACCCGGCTAACTGTTACCAGGGGTGGGTCTTTCCGATGGAGAATCAGCTGCAGCTATACGCCATCCTCTGGGGAGCTTCATATCACCGGGATATCCTGCGCATCACGCACGGTGCAGCTAGTGGAGAATCCAGGGAGCAGCTGGAGCTCAAGGCACTAACCCTGCAGTCCCTGAAGCGCGAGATTGCGAATGTGGATAGGCTTAAGTCTCCAGATGGGCTGGTGATGTGCATCCTATGGCTGGCAGCAAACGACAAGCACAAGAAGATCACCCGCGATCTGAATCCTTTCTCGCCTCCGTTCAAGAACCTGCAGGCTCTAGACTTCTGCGGCGCCCAGGAATACCACCCGCTGCATTGGAACATGGTGCACAATATCCTCCGCCGCTTTGGCGGGATCGAGAGCATCAAGACCTATGCACTCGCCTGGCTGGTCAGCCTCGCATCGCTTATCGTCGCGGTCCAGTCTCTATCCAAACCAGTCTACCCAGTCATGGGTGCGCACGGTCAACGACTGGATCTGGATCTGCAGCCACCGAGCCTGCTATTCCAGCCACATGGCTATCACGAAGGCCCTGATCCTGCGGGCTCCGGATTCCACGAGCTCTTCTATCTATGGCCGCCGATCAAACACGACCTCATCGACGTATTCATCGAATTAGGGCAATACGCCGCGGTCCTACAGCACTTGCATGGCAATCCATGCAGTCCCGCGATCCTGGACTTACTAGGCGACAGCCGCAATCTCATCCACCACCGCCTCCTCTCCCTCCCTGACGAGCATGACCCCGTTGACATGATCCTAGAACACGACCAGACCCCGAGAACGGAGGCTAACTGCAGGTGGAAGCTCTCCCTCGACATCTACCATGCCGCTCGTCTCTCTGCGATCCTCTACGCGGTGCACGTCACATTCCCCCTCCCATACTCCAAAGCGCCCCGAGATATCCTGCTCTATTGTCTTCGCCCCCGTCTCCACAACCTGCACACGCAGAATCTCACGTCGCCGCTCCTCATCTGGTGCTTGGCTGTAGTGCTGACCTGCTCGATGGTGGACGAATTCGAGGGCTCTGCCCCTGCGTCTCCTGAGTCCGATGCTGACTCTGTTGCTGACGGACCCGGGATGGTAACATACATGGCTTGTCTATGCCGAGACCTTGGGGTGAATGATCGCCAGGGACTCGAAGAGCTCGTGAGAACTTTTGTATGGGCTGATGCGGCCGCGACGGAAGAGTGCTGGGCCCGGACGTGGAGCATGATTCGGGCTCTGTTATGACACGTACTAGTAGTGATCAGTGATCAATGGAACTGCCTTCCTACCGAATTACCCAACGGGGCTCGTAGAGTCTGGCCGGACAACCCAGCCCAATTGAACCCTTGATACCGCCTGGGTAAGCTTAGGTGAGGCTGGTATGATCGGGCGAGATTAGGGCAAGTGCGCAATAGACCAGAGCCGTGGACAGGGTAAGATAGAATAAGATAGAATAAGATAGAATAAGATAGAATAAGATTAGAATAGAAGGGCGGCGGCCTGAAAGGGTTTGTAATAGGTAATAGGTGTGAAAGGTAAAAAGACCTGCCCGGGCACCTGCATGGACATCCGATTCCAAGAAGCAGGAGAAACAAAAGATCAATACGAACCTGCCTTTCTACATAGAAATATAAAAACATCATATCAGCCAAGTGAGCGTGAGTCTACGATCGGCATCTCATCCAAGTCTCAATATATAACAAGCGTCTCAGAGGACCGGGCCAGTCTCTCCAGCTTCTTAGACATAGACATAGACATACATCCATATCTACTACCCAGCTGCATCGTCATCGCCGCACCTCGAAGCGCAAACAACCAGCCCCCACAACGCCTCCCCGCCCATGTGCCCGGACTCGAGCTGCTCCCCGTCTGTGTAGAAAAACCCGCCCAGAACCAGCCGGACGGCGTCCCACGCCCGCGCATGCAATTCCAATTCCAGTTCCAGAAACGCCGCGAGGTCCGCGAGCCGGGACACGAACCACGCGTGGGAATCGTGGCCCTGCGCCGCCATGCCGCCGATGAACAGGATCCAGAGGAGCGCGTCTGGGGCTGTTTTTTGGAGGCGCGCGAGAGTGGAGATTGTGTTTGTGTTTGCGCTTGTGTTTGTGTTTGTGTTTGTGTTTGTGTTTGTGCTTGTGTTTGCGGGGCTGAGCAGGCAGTCCCGTAGACTGTTGACGAGGTGCTGCATTAGGGGGTACTCCTGCAGATGCCAGATGCGGATGTTTAGGTAGATGAAGAGGGTGAGGCGGAGGGGCTCGTTGAGGGGGGATGATGAGGCCGTGGGTGAGTGTGAGTGTGATGGATCTGGATCAGCTGGTGCTGTATAACGAACAGAGACAAGCTGGTGCTCCAGGAGCAAAAAGAGGCTGTTATCCGTGTGCGTGACGAGCGAGGGGCGCAGGAGCGCAAACTCATGGTACTGGATTAGACGCTGCGAGACGCGCAGGAGGGTCTTCATGCTCTCCGCCAGAGTAGTATACCACGGAGCGGCGAAGAATGACGTCCCCAGCGTCAACACCCGGGCTGCGATTTCCGGTGCGAAAGCCGATGCTAAATGGGCCACTGTGTTGCTGCTTGAGTTTGAGTGCCCCAGGAAGAGCGTCGCTTCCTGGTGGATCTCGCGCCGCCATTTTGCGGCGAGGGGGCGGGTTGGGGCGCGGTTTGTTAACGCTGCGTACATGATGTCGGAGCTGGGTTCGATTGTTAGGGATGGACCATGGAGTGAAGCAGCTGAGGCGTACTAGTAGATTTGGAAGAGGGTCAAGTGGTCCAGGGACTCGAGGGCGCCGTGCAGGCGGATCAATGCGTTTAGGCCGTTTGTGTGGATGGCGGCGCTGTCGTGATTGCAGCTGATCGCCTGGAATTGTTAACTGTTTGTAGATTTGAATATGCCCGGGCTCAAGTGAAGGAAACACACCTCGATCGCCCGCAGCGCGGCAACAATCAAGATGGTCGGCGCAGTGATAGACCCCGGATTGTGAAGGTTGCGGTTCAAGGCCTTTATCGTGTGGCCCCGCAAGCGCAGGACCTCTCTCCTCGACTGCTCCAGATGCTGCGAGGGCGCATTGTTGAGCTCGTACATGGCCGTCTTGTGGTTTGCCGCGGACACAAGCAGGGTCAGCTGGATGGCTGGCTCGGAATGCGCCTGCTGCCACCACCACGCACCCATGCGCGCGCTATCAAGCGGGTAAGCGCGGGGCACGGTGAAATGCCGGTCTACGCGGGATTAGAGTGAGTATGCGAGGTTCCCGGGCCACGTACGATGGTGGAAGCACGAGTCCATGAAGCGGTGCATTGGCAGCGCGGTCGTGGAGAAGGGGTCGATGAAGCCCTGGCCGAGCGGGGATTGCGGTGACCACGGCCCTGTCAGCTGGGCGAGGTGCATGGACTGGGACTGGTGATGCCGTGCGCTGTCTGCTCTGGCGCCGGCAGCTTCTGGGCTGGAAGCATCATCTGTATCTTTTCCGGCCCCGTTTGGATTCGAGGAACCAGGTACCGGATTGTATTCGAACTGAAGCCGTTGACGAAAGACCGGCAGAGATGCCTTCAGCCTCTCGGCAGCAGCAAGCCGCTTCTTCCGCTGATAAGTGTTCTGCGCAAAGACGCGCTTCTGCTTCTCGAGGGAGCGGTTCTGCGGGTTGTCGTCGTGGTAGTCCACAAACAGAAAGTCGGCATCGTGGGTGCTCATCGGAGTTCTTGGACAACCGGCGTGGTGGTTCTATTCCCAGGAGAGGTCCGCTCGTGGTCACAGTCACGGCCACAGTCCCAGGCGAGCGCACTACCCATCTCCACCTTGAGACCGAGTGCGGCGATGATTGGCTGCAGCCTGCCATGTCTCGATTTCTAAGCGACCGATCGCACACTGAGGGAACACAGCATGGCACGTGACTCCTGCTGAGGGATCGATGTGATGTTGTTCTGGTAGCATGGCTGGGCGGAATGGTTGAGGACAAACATGGCATTGAGAATAAACAGGAGCCAGAGTTGGAGCAGTGGGCGACAGAGTTTATATACAGTTGTCTACGCGCAGTCAGGCTGGCCACATCGCCTGGCAGGAATAATGTCCAGTGAGGAGGCAGCGAGGATGCTCCAGAAGCGGTTTAGTTCGCCAAGCTGCTCAGATTACTCCCAGTGCCAAGCGTGAAATGACTTTATATCTTGATAATAGAGTACTCTGGACCTGTTCCCCCGACCAGAGGAACCTTCGGCATGGCAACGCCGTTTGAAGTATAAGTAGCAAAGCGAGGACCGGTACGTAAGTGAATGTCCGCCAAGGAATGTGTGCGCTATTAAGGAGTAATACCGATATAGCTCTGACGAGGCAGACCAGACCCTGAACCATTCAGTCGGAGGTTCTGCTTGCCTGGAGGGTACCCTAGAAGCAAGGGACTGGGCAGGGCTAAGCGAGGGCCACAGTTAATCTATATCATAGGAATCGCCTGCCTGATGTGCGTGAGCTCTGGTGGGTCAGTTTCAGCCACCAAGATTCTTCGAGCGGCTGTTCTGAATGGGGATATCCGACGTTCATTTGCATGAAACAGCCCTCAGCTATCCACCTTCAACGACAACTTCAAGATTGCTCACCGAAAGGCAAAAGGTATAAGACATGATGCCAGGCTGGAATCCAGTGATCATGTCTCCCGTTGTTCTGCTGTTCGACCGTCACTCCTTCTCTCCTAACCATCCTGATCTGGGATCAGTCCATTCTTTTTGTCTTTCTTCTATCCAATGCGTTCTCTCCTTTCCATCCTGGCCGGCGCCAGTCTCGCTGCTGCCTGGACCGAGCTTAGCCATGCTCCGTTCATGAACAAGAACATCGACGCCATTGTCCAGCCAGGCGCCTACACCTCGCACATGCATACCTTCTTCGGCAGCGACGCCATCACCAACGTCCTTCCAACCTCCGCTGACCTCCAGACCGGCTGCTACACTGGCGATAACCCGAACGACCTCTCTGTCTACTGTGCGTCCTTCACTCCTCCCACTCTCTCTACTCAACTTTCCCACTCACAGCTCACATCTGCAACAGGGGTCCCCACCCTCTACCACGTCGACGGCGACACATACACCGAAGTCCCCATCTTCAAGTTCAGCACCTACTACACAAACGCCTTCGCCACAAGCCCAATCCCCCAAGACTTCGCCATGCTCTCCGGCAACGCCTCCGCCACGACCCAGGCCGAGGCAGACAACCCCTACAACAACATGGAATGGTTCTGCGAGGGCTCCGACGCCCGCGAATCCAACGTCGCCCAGATGCCCTCCTCCACCTGCGACCAGCATCTCCAGGTCAACCTCGTGTTCCCGCAGTGCGTCAATCCAGATGACCACAGCGACTACGACTTCGCCGACGACAGCCAAGCCTGCCCGGAGGGGATGGTCTCCATCCCACAACTGCGCTACCGCGTCCTCTACGACACGAGATCCGTGGCCCCATCCGGCTGGAGCGGCGCCGCCCCGTTCCTGCTCTCGTGCAGCGATACCCTCGGCGCCGGCTACTGCTTCCACGGCGACTTTGTCAACGGCTGGTATGAGGATGCGGCGGAGAACATGCTGGCCAACGGCGGAGGCGGCTACACCGATGGCCAGTTCGTCGCGGGCTCGCATGGCGATTCTGCTGTTGAGGCGACGTGCACTGCTGCAGACCAGGACCCGGGGAATGGGACGAGCGATTACCTTGCTAGTCTTGAGATGATGGCTGGGGGTGCGGCTGGGGACGAGACTCCCACTCCTACTGCAGCCCTATCCACGCCAGCGGCTACTGTCCCGGCAATGACCACGACCACGACCACGACCACCCCCAAGCCGTCGGCTACACAGGCTCCCGACTCGCGGCGCAGGCAGAAGCACAGGACCGGGATGCAGCTTGGACAGCAGGGCAAGCGCAGCATCGGTCGGGAATCGAAGGCCAGGCTGTGAAGCGCGCTGGGCGCTCTAGACGGCTAGATTGCGGATGTGAGGAGTGCCTCTCGCTCTGGTCTCTTGTGGGTTTAGCTTCAATCGAGCACGAGCCAGAAGGCTGTGCGTCTATTGATAGCAGACGGAATCTCCATTTCACCTCTTGCTTGTGTGCTGTGTGCTGTGCTCTGTGCTAGGGATGTGGCACATCATCTATATGTATGGCATTGCCCAGTGCAATCCTCTGATTCTCTCTATGACCAAGGGTTATCTTTCACTACTTCTCCATGCCGTGGGCATGTACTTTATATACTATCCATAGCTACCAACTACAGTATTCGCTCGCTAATCTACAATGTCAGAACATGTCTTACTATATTCTCAAGTGCCTAGGCAGTGTATTGATAGACCGGTCGCGGCACAAAAGCTGAAAGTAGTTCATGCCTACGCTGTTTGATTATGCTGGCAGCCTGTTGTAGCATCTATCCCGCACTGGAAGGAACCTCCATGGGAAGGAATGACCGCGTCAGGTACTGTCGGAGCGGAGGACTGGCAGGCCGGAGAAGCCGCCAGAAGCCTCTAGCCCAAATCGGCTTTGTTCCCCGCGCTTATCCTAAAGAGGCTAGTATTATTATATATTACTTTTTTTTATTAAAGATTTTATATATAAATTATTTCTTAATTAGATTTACTTATTATTTTATAATATTATTATTTATCTTGCAATATTTTTATTGATTTTATATTTAAAAATCTACACGTAATTAATTAAGACGGCAACGCCGGAAGCCCCGGAATTTTAACTAATTAATTTTAATTAATATTTATAAATACCTTTACTTTTAATATATTAAAAGGCTTTATAATACCTAATATAACTCCTATACTTATTATAAAAATAATATTTACTTTTATTATTATAATAAATTAAATAATAAATTTATTAAAAAAAGCCTTTATACTTAACATAGTAAATAAAAAACTAAGAAGTAAAAAAAACTATAATATATAAATTTAGTTAGTAGGCCAAAAACTAGACTTATATAATTTTAAAGTATTTATTAAAAAAATATACCACGCCTAATATTAATATTAATATTATATTAAAAATAAGTAATTATATTAAAAAAGGTTTAAATATAGCTTGCAAAAAGTTTAATAAATAATATTATATAAATAATATATATAAATTTAAAAAAGGTATTATATATAAACAAGTTTTATACTAAAATTAACTAGGTTTTTAATAAAAATAAATATATAATAGCTTATATAGTTTAAAAAAAAGCTATTATTATTAACTAGGCTAGCTATAGTATAGTCCAGGAATTTATTAAAATACTTTATAAAAAGTATAAATTTAATAATAAATTTAATATAATTATTACTTTATACTAGTAATTTTTTTTATTTTTAAAGAAACTATAGGTAAAAATACCTTTATATTATAAAGTAAAGTATATTTTAATACCCGCGAGCGTTATTAAAAAAATAACTATAATATAGTTTTAAAAAATTTATTATAAAGTTTTAAATAGGGCAAAGGTCTAGACTTTTATTTATATAATAATATTAAAAAATAATAATAATAATAATAATAATAATAATAAAAATAAGAATAGGGATAAGAATAATTTTAATTTTAAAAATAAAAAATAAAACGCACCTTATTAAGGCGCTTTAAAAAAAGGGGTGTTTAATAAGCAGTAAGTAAAAAAGAAATTAGCTTTAAAAAATAATAAAAAATATATATAATTATTACGGTAAAGGACCTTATAATTTTTTAGAATACTATTATTTAGTATTAAAAAAGTATTTTTTAAGCTAGTAGCTATTAGGCAAGATTTAGTACTATAAGTTTATTAGGCTAATAAATTTAAATAATAATATTAAAAATAGTAATACTAGTAAGCCCAGTGCTACTACTATTTTTTAATAAACTTAGGGTAAATATAATACAAACTTTAGTATATATAGTACTATACTTTTTATTATATTAATAATATTAAAATTTTATAATTAATGGCTAGTGGACACTAGTTCCAGAATTCCTGTATATAATAATAAAAATCTTATAAAAATTTTTTATATTATTTAACTTTTATAGCACGCATTTATTATTGTGAGTCGCGTTTGTATACTACAATAAGCTTAGGAGAACATAAATTACTGCAATAGGAAAGGCGTCGTGTATTTATAGTAGGAACTAATTGCTAATTCTTCTAAGTTAAAGTTTGGAGTTAAACTTAGTATTTTATATATTATATAACTAGCCACCGCCTTAGCACGCGGCTAGTTTAATACTAAAGTTCCTTTGCTAGGTAGCCTTAGGCTGCTAAATTATATTATTATAATACTATATAGTTATAATATTATAATAGTAATAATAGTGCTTTCTTTTTTTAAGTAATCGCGCCCTTGTAATTTATAAATTTATGTTTTTTTTTTATAAAAAGTAATTTAATTTATAAATCTTATTAAGCGCTACAAAATAAGCTATTTTTAGGTTTATAAAATATTATAGTTCACGTGTAATTTACGTTTAAAGTTAGGGGTAAAAAATTAATTTAATTACCTTACTTTACTACTAGGTCTAAATATAATATTACTACCTGCGGTGGCTAGGTATAATATTTTAGTTTTAATACTAAAGCACCCTTGTAATTTCTCTTTTTTTTTTTTTTTTTTAAATTCATTTTTGTAATTTTTTTTTTTTTTTTTTTTTTTTAAATTTTTTTAATATTTAAAGCAAGATAGCGCCTGTAAGTATACACCTTTTTTATTATGTTTTTATTACTTTTTAATTATTTAATTATATTTCTAAAGTTAAAATATCTTATATTTACCTTTTCCCATGCTCTCTAAGCATTATATTATTTATTTTAATAATATTAATCCTATGTTAATATTATTAGGCCCGCATATTTTATTTTATTTCACGCTTAGTTTTTATAATAAAGCTTTAAGCTTTAAATAGCTAAATCTCCTTGTTTTTACGCTTTTTTTAATACCTTTAGCAGCTATTTATAATATATAGTTATTTTATTTTAGCTATTAATATATTACCATGTTAGTTTTTTATTTACCTTTTTTTTATATTTTACTACGCACTTGCCTTTTTAATTTAGTTAATAAGCTTTTTATATTTAGCTCTTGTTATTTTTATATTTTTAAAACTATTTTTAGTAGTTAAATTAAACATGGTTTACCTTTATTATAGCCTTTATTATACTGCGTGTTTTTAACCCTATTTTTTTTTTTAAGGTCTCCTATATTTACCCTTTGCTTTGTGTTTTTTTTACTTTAATATTTAATATAGTCTTATGTCATGCTTTAAATACTATTATTAGTAATTATTTATCTTATTATAATATTTTATTTTATATTTTTTTATTATAGTAGTTAAGCCTTAATTTTAGCCTTTACTTTTTATTTTACCTTTAGCATATAGGATTATATTCCCCTGCCTTTTACTTATATATTAATAACTATTAACATGCTAACTATTAAAATAACCTAATTTTAATACTTGCGTGCCCCTGCTGTTATTATTATTATTACTACCCCTGCTACTACTCCCGCCGCCCCCGCTAATAAAGCTCTTATTAATATTTTTTTTTTACTACCCCCGGGCTTTATAGCTTTACTACTTAACCTTTATATTTTATAGTATATTATATATATTACTACTATAGGGTGCTATAATAAAAATATATTTACTATTAATATTATAATAAAAGCCCTTACTTATAACCGCGTGGGGGGTAAAAAGTACTAGTTTTATTATAATATAAAAAAGGTGCTTTTAAAGTATATAGCTATTAATATTGCCCTAGTAAATAATTAATTATAAAATGTTTTTAATACCACTAACACTATGTATATAGGAGCTAATAATCCACAAGCTTATAAAAACCTTGCTACCTTAAAAGTGGCTTGTTAAGTATTTAAAATAATTATTAAGTAAACTATTATAGCTAATAATACACAAGTAACTAACCCTATAAATATTATTATATTTATATTTAACTTTACTTTACAGGTTAGTACCCCCCTTAATAAAAATAATAATTTACCATGTAAGTTAGTTCTTTTTTTATAGTATTATTATATTTTAGTTTATTAATTTATTATAATAGTTTTTTTTTTAGTTTTTAAATCTTTATTTAGCACTACTTTAGTAGCTATAATTTTTTTTTATATAGGTGCGGCTTTAGCCGCTAAGCATATATTTATATATTTTAGTTTATACTATATTATATTACTAATTTTTTTATAAACTTTTATTATTTTTAGTGCAGGGTGTGCTACATTTTAGTACTTTTAGAGATTTTTATTAAGGTTGCTTTTATGCTAGGTATTAGTATTAACGCCCTTGTGGGCTTAGTTTTTATTTTATATATATTAGGTACTACGCGCCGCGCGGCTTAGCCACTTATTTAAGTTTTTTTTNTTTTTTTATAAGTGCGCGTAGGCTATAAACATAGATATTTATATTTAATGTCTTTTTGCTTTATATAATTTATTCTTATAGGTTTTCTTAAAATTTTTAAGTACTATAATTTTGGTTATATAAGCCTTTAGTTCCTATGTATTATCTTTTGCGTTATTTTATTCTTGCTATTTTATAAGGTATTATACCTTGCCCTTAAATTTATAAATATTAAGGATTTTTTTAATAAAGTATTTCTTTTTACTATTTACTAGTATAGGGCTAATATTTAGCGCTTAAAATAAGTTACCGTGGTAAGGTTTTAAAAGTATAATATAAAAAATATTATATAATTATTATATATTTAGTGGGAGTAGTAGCTTATAGGACTATTTTTCTTATTTTATAATTACTAGAAACAGGCTAATAAGTATCTTACTTAATTTATAATTTAGTCTTGCTAACTTAATATTCTTTATATAAAGTATAACATGGTTATTAATTTTAAAGCTTATTTTCTTATGCTTTTTGTTATATTAAACTATTATAACTTTCTTTAACTTTTATAGTTACTTTTTTAAATTCACGC